AAAATCAATTCTATCAATTAAAAAATTCAGTATTTCAGCCTTTGAAGATGTTATTAGATGAAGAGATTGCACATGAAAATACAGGCAAAGGCAATAGGCCCTCCACAAATATTTATTGAAAAATGTAGAGGGATGAATGAATGAAAGCAGAAAAATGATAACCTCTAGTCAAGGCTGACTGAATCTATGCGAATCATTCTTCCAATGCATTTTTATAATCTGTTATGGAGTTTACAAAATTGTAAGATTCTGTTCAAGAAGACATTTCAATAGCATGAACTTCCAAACTTTCAAAATATTCAACCATGATTGACTTTGCTTTAATTATAAAAAAACTTTTTAAAATTGAGAAGAGGCATAAAACAATTTTGCAGAGTATTTTTACATGAATGGAACATTGAAAATGACAATAATTGGGCATCAGTTCGTAGTTCCTGAGAGCGTGGTTACCTCGTAGTGAGTGATCGCACAAAACGGAATCACTGAATGAAACGACACCTTCTAGTAACGTTCACTTGCATACGGATGGATTAACTAACATATTCATTTGTACTTGTTACTATCAAACAGTAGAAGACTTCTTCTAAAAATTTATGGCTCTTTATTCTTCTCTGTGTTGTTTATCGCCAAATATTTAAGCAGATAAAGTATAGGTTTAATCACTATCCCATATGCTATCATTCAACACAAATTATATAAAGACACACTTGTGAGTTATCAACTGGCAAACATTAATCAATTCAATGGTGAGGTACATAACATCATTAAGGATAGTTTTATGACCTTGTAGGAATAATTAGTTAGTAAATAGTAAAGTTATTATAGAGCTATTAATAATCTAATAATTAATAATTCCATATGTAGTAAAGGAACAATGAAATGCAAATAAATGACAAAGATACAGCGAAAGGTGGCCAAGGAAAAATTCTTGAGCACAGAAGTTTGAGGCCTGAAGTCACACAAAGGACCTGAGGTTACATTCACCCATGAGATGCAAGAATTCCAATTCTCAGGATAATGTATACGTTCTTTCTATATACAGGTAATCATTTCAGTCGAGTATGAGAAGAACTCTAACTTGAGTTATTTTATTCTACATTCACAATACTCAAGTAAATTGCAGATTCATAATTTTTATTTCCAGCCACCATTTTTCAAAACGGAGTAAAATCACTGACAAGAATATTCGATATTTTAATATTTTCTTATTCATATTTCTAGTTCTCATAAAGACATTTTTTATCTTTTATATATTAGCCAGTTTGTTTAGCCAGTTCAGATCACATCATACTATTATTTATCAACTGATAAATTACATTTCTAAACTTGGGACATTTAAAGAATATAATAATGCCACCATTCCCTAAGACATAAAATCATTATACTATGTGTTTGTTAAAAGTGTGTGTGTACAGGTTAGGGAGTAATGATTGCTTAGTAGCAAGTATTGAGATTCTAAAGATACAGCCCAGATATTGATCTCACCCTATCATTTATTAGCTTTGTAATTTCAGGCACAGGAACCTTACTTTGAAAAATGGCAAAGAACTCTGTGACTTATTTGAAAAGGTCATTATTAACATAAATAAACAGTCAATGAGATACTATTATAATCATCTTAGCAACTGCAGGTAATCTGTGCCAAATAGTGGGTTGGTGAAAACTTCATAATCACTTCCAAAAGATATAGAAAAAGTCAATATCATAATGAAGAAGGGCTAAAGTTCAATATTCTCTATAGTACCTCCCTGATAATTTCTTGCTGCACAGAGAAAGGAAATTTGAAGCTGTTCACCACTGTAAGAACTCTCAATCCAAGGGTCCCAGAAAAATTCAGTTCAAACTGCAGTTGTTCCTAGCACATGGCAACATAAACAATGATATGTGATTATGAAAGTGTTTCATAATAAAACAGAAATATGTATCCTCAAAGACACCATGCTAATTGCAAAATAAAGAGTGATATTGTTAACATTCTTCCTGAAATAATACTGAGACTATTATATTTCCAATATAGTTGACATAAATAGACAGGCTTCTCTGCAATGCTGGAGAAATTGAATGCATTAAATTAACTGACACAAATTACAGTGCCCCACTTCCAGCTAAGAGGTACAGAGGATCATACAGAAACATCTTTTGTACAATGTGCTGAGATTGTTTTCTCTACTTATTGGGATAAAGAGGTAATGGATTTCTCCCTTTATGCAGATACCTCTCAAAGAAATTGTAACCTGTTTTTACTTGTGTTTTCCCTCCAGTCTAAAAGGGAAACCTACCTGATGACTGCATCTAAGCCATACTTTATCTATAATTATAATGAAACAATTGGTAGACAGTAGGTGTTCAATAAACATTATTGTAATAAATTAAAGCCAAACTTCAGATATGAGATGAACTTTTCATTCAAGTTTGATGTGTCTTTTGTAGCATCGTCAATTTTAATCTTTGAATTTTAGTAAAATAGGAAACACATGTTCTGTGCAAGTAAAAGGCTGATTTAGATTAAAGTAGCTAAATTTATAGAAATTAGGAAATTGAATGAACCACTTACATTTCATGTAAAAAGATGGGCAAACTCATTAGTAAAACTGATTTATCACTTCATTCAAAATATTTCTTGAGACTATACTGCATTCTAATGACCATGCCCACGAGCCAGTAATGCAAAGTGCAACAACTCTAATGATCTTAAGATTAATGCCTAGTGAAAGAATCAGAAACATGTTCCAACATAGGGAGCTGTGCACTAAGATCATGGGGCGAATATGGAGTAGCAGCTAAATGCAACTAAGGGGAGACACTACCTGGAAAACTTCCCAGAAAGGAGATAATTGAACTGAAGTTTAGAAAACAGCAAGTTAATTCAAAACAGAGAAATACGAGATGCATGCAGCAAGAACAAGGTGAGGCTCCCACAGCTCTGCCAATAGAGAAAGCTGCATGTAGAGGGATGAAAAAACATGAAGATGAACATGGAGTGTGGGGGCGTGTGGGAAGGACCACAGACTGTAGGGCATTTATATAAGGTAAAGGAGATTGAGCACGCATCTGCAGTAAAGGAAGTAGTTTGTTAGATTCTCTCCTCAAAGGGCTCAGAAGCTACAGAACACACAAGACAAATAATGGTGGAGTTAGGTGTTCTGGGTGAAACGTAAGACACCAGTTGAGATATTCTATGTCTAATAGCAGAGTGCCTGGGTCAAGCCCTGGTTCCAACTCCAGTTCCAACAGACTGTGCCTGGTCAGAGTTCAAAATCATGTCTTCAGTCTGCCCAGTAGTTGTGGGTGTGTAAATAATCTAGTGGAGGGGAAATCTGGATTCTTTTTCATCGGAATTTAAAAGAAATCGTTGAGGGGCTGGTGTTGTGGCCTCCACATGCAATGCTGTAATCCCACTTGGGCACCAGTTCAAGATCTAGTTGCTCCACATGATATAGCTCCCTATGAATACATTTTAACGGGGAAAAGCAGTGGAAAATAGCCTAAGTGCTTAAGGCCTTACACCCATGTGGGAGATCTGGAAGAAGCTCCAGGTTCAATTTGTTGTGATCATTTGGGGAGTAAGCCAGGGAATGGAAGAGCTTTTCTCGTTCTAAATCTCTAACTATGCATTTTAAAAAATTAGAAAATAAATCTTAAAAAACTGAAATATTCAGTACAAAAAAGGAGGCTTATTCAAAAGCAAATGAAATAATAAACAGCAAACATACTTAACAATTCAAAATAACTTAATAGTTTAGTTAACCTCATGATTCAGCTTTTACATAACTTTTTTTTAAAATAAAATCACATCTCTGAAAATGGTATTAGGCAAGTTACTCCTAACTTTGTACTGTAAATAAATTTTCAAACTTTGGTAAATAAGGACATCTTTTTAGATATATATAAAGGGAAAAGGTCTCTATCAACATATAGATCACAGCCCAAACACCTCATATTGAATTCAGTCAACAATGTGGTTATGAATGCCAATGTCAAACAGCGGTGAAAGAACAGACTGATCAATTCTTCTTAGATCGTAGCTGCTGAGAGTCAAAGAACTAGAGCCTCTCTCTGCTGGGTACCTGCAGGGAGAATGCACCAACAGCGCAGCTAACCACAACATATACCTAAAAGATATATGGTATTTTAAAACACAGCATATTTAAAATTAAAGCTTCATTTGGAAACTGCTGATGTTTCTGTGATTCAAATATCGGTACCCATTTTTAAAGGACTATTTATGTCTTTTTCACTGATGATTTAAAGTTGATTTTTTTTTTCACATTCAGTGATTAATGAAATGTAAATTATTCTCAAGGGTAAATAGTCAAATATGAATGTAAATGTTAGGAATGATAATATACAGACATACTTTACAACAAAATAAATGTAATGTCTCTCAAACACTGCCAATCTCATGGTACATTTTACAAAGGAGATTACCAAGAGAAGTATTAACTGAAATGGAACACTAAGCTAAATACCACTACCTTTAGACCAGTTAACAAGTGTTTCATAATTTTGTTTGCAAATGCTATCCCTGGGGAACTTTGGAAATGACATTTTAACTCATTTGAATATAATACAAGATTGTTATTTATTTGTACTGTTCTTTTCTCAGAAGCAAAAAAAAAAATGCCATCATCACTGAAAGTCTGTTTTCCATTTTTTCCCTGTAACTAATTGTCAGCAAGAATGAAAATATCGAGAATAATTGCAGAGTGTAAACAAGTAAATATTTGAAATAATTGAGAAACTCTGGAAGCATATTCTTTAATTAAACTTTAGGCTTCTAAAGATTAGATTCCTCAGCCTGTCCAGGGCCTGGGCCAATAACTATCAAGTGCAGTCAAGACAAGGATAAAGTCATTAAAACATATTGAAAAAACTATAAACCTAAAAGCCCTGAGTTTATTATTTATATATGAAGTAATTAATTAATTATGTTTTTCCTTTGTACTAATTACTTTCCTCTTGTTTCCTTTTACACTTTGTTTCATTACAGTTAGCATAATGCTGCCATTCCTGCAAGTGCAGAGCAACCATGGGATTTGAATATTATACTCCTAAATAAATGAATTTCTCAGTCTCCTATGCCCATCTATACATACTCCATCTTCAAAGAGTAGATCAGACTTGTATCATTAACGAGACACTGACCTTTCCAATGTGCATGATATTTTTGGACAATGCAATTGCGGCACTGGTATTTATTTCTGTGAAGAAAAACCCAACGGTTCCGTGGAATTCATCAATTGACACATGCAAGCATTTTCTTAATCATTCGGGATTTATTGAACTGAGCAGTGACTGTGGAATCCTTCAGGACCCATTAAATTTCTGAAGAAAAAAGCTAAGATGAAGGACATGCCACTCCGAATTCATGTGCTACTTGGCCTAGCTATCACATTAGTACAAGCGACAGACAAACAAGTGGATTGCCCGCAATTATGTACATGTGAAATCAGGCCTTGGTTTACGCCCAGATCCATTTATATGGAAGCCTCCACGGTGGATTGTAATGATTTAGGTCTTTTAAGTTTCCCAGCCAGATTGCCTGCCGACACACAGATATTGCTCCTACAGACAAACAACATTGCAAACATCGACTACTCCATAGACTTTCCAGTAAACCTCACTGGCCTGGACTTATCTCAAAACAATTTATCTTCAGTCACCAACATTAATGTAAAAAAGACGCCTCAGCTCCTTTCTGTGTACCTAGAGGAAAACAAACTTACTGAGCTGCCCGAAAAATGCCTGTCTGGACTGAGCAACTTACAAGAACTCTATATTAATCACAACTTGCTTTCTACAATTTCACCTGGAGCCTTTATTGGCCTACATAATCTTCTTCGACTTCATCTGAATTCCAATAGACTGCAGATGATCAACAGTAAGTGGTTTGATGCTCTTCCAAATCTAGAGATCCTGATGATTGGGGAAAATCCAATCATCAGAATCAAAGACATGAACTTTAAGCCTCTTATCAATCTTCGCAGCCTGGTTATAGCTGGTATAAACCTCACAGAAATACCAGATAATGCCTTGGTTGGCCTTGAAAACTTAGAAAGCATTTCTTTTTATGACAACAGGCTTGTTAAAGTGCCCCATGTTGCTCTTCAAAAAGTTGTAAACCTCAAATTTTTGGATTTAAATAAGAATCCTATTAATAGAATAAGAAGGGGGGATTTCAGCAATATGCTACACTTAAAAGAGCTGGGGATAAATAACATGCCTGAATTGATTTCTATCGACAGCCTTGCTGTGGATAACTTGCCAGATTTAAGAAAAATAGAAGCCACAAATAACCCCAGATTATCTTACATTCACCCCAATGCATTTTTCAGACTCCCTAAACTGGAGTCACTCATGTTGAATAGCAATGCCCTCAGTGCTCTGTACCATGGTACCATTGAGTCTCTGCCAAACCTCAAGGAAATCAGTATCCACAGCAACCCCATCAGATGTGACTGTGTCATCCGTTGGATAAACATGAACAAAACCAACATTCGCTTTATGGAGCCAGATTCACTGTTTTGTGTGGACCCACCTGAATTCCAAGGTCAGAATGTTAGGCAAGTACATTTCAGGGACATGATGGAAATTTGCCTCCCTCTTATAGCTCCTGAGAGTTTTCCTTCTAACCTGGATGTAGAAGCTGAAAGCTTTATTTCTTTGCACTGTAGAGCTACTGCAGAGCCACAGCCTGAAATCTACTGGATAACACCTTCTGGTCAAAAACTCTTACCTAATACTCTAGTAGACAAGTTCTATGTCCATTCAGAAGGCACACTAGATATAAGTGGTATAACCCCCAAAGAAGGGGGCTTATATACCTGTATAGCAACTAACCTAGTTGGTGCTGACTTAAAGTCCGTTATGATCAAAGTAGATGGTTCTTTCCCCCAGGAAAACAATGGATCTTTGAATATTAAAATAAGAGATATTCAGGCTAATTCAGTCCTGGTATCTTGGAAAGCAAGTTCTAAAATTCTCAAATCTAGTGTGAAGTGGACAGCCTTTGTCAAGACTGAAAATTCACATGCTGCTCAAAGTGCTCGGATACCATCCGATATCAAGGTATATAATCTTACTCATCTGAACCCATCAACTGAGTATAAGATTTGCATCGACATTCCCACCATCTACCAGAAAAACAGGAAACAGTGCATAAACGTCACAACAAAAGGTTTGGATCCTGATCAAAAACAGTATGGAAAAAGTAACACCACAACACTCATGGCTTGCCTTGGAGGCCTTCTGGGGATTGTTGGCATGATCTGTTTGCTCAGCTGTCTCTCTCAAGAAACAAACTGTGATGGTGGACATCGCTATGTGGGAAATTACTTACAGAATCCAACCTTGGCATTCAGTGAGCTTTATCCTCCTCTAATAAACCTCTGGGATGCAGGCAAAGAAAAAAGTACATCATTGGAAGTAAAAGCAACTGTCATAGGTGTGCCAACAAACACATCCTAAGGTACAATCTATTCAAATGACTTTGAACAAAAGTTAAAGACTCGCAGTTGTGGTTAAAAATAAGAAAAAAGAAGAAGAGAAATATTACTTTATAAAATGAAGGTTAAGCTTCACCAATGCTGCTCCTGACCAATGGAAATATGTACAAGTTCAGCATTTTAAGTAACTGGTTTCAAAGGGTATTGTGGCAACCAAATAAAATGATTCCATTTTCTAGAACTTTCATGTAACTTTTATGTCTGGACTACAGTTAAAGTGGACAAAAACATTTCTGTATTTTTTTTAAGTATATAAGAGTAGTTGAACTGAGCAATACCTCCTCCTGTGTTGTATTACACATATTAGCCACGAGTTTTTGCAGTGACAAGATAAACTTGAATTGACACGTGGTGTAATAAAAAGGACAAATTCTGTAGAGTAGACACAGTGAGTATGTGGACCTCTTTTCTAAGGAAAAATACATTTTGGATTAAAATTAATTGCTTTTGTCTTGTTTTGTTTCTAAATAAAGAGTAATTTCTGGGAAATATCTGATCAGAAATTATTTAAATGATAGCATGTTCCAAAAATGGTGTTCCATAATGAAGCTTCAAATGGTAAGACTCTTATTGGGTTGTATACCTATATATTTATAATCTACAAAAAAACCAATTTTAGAAAAAAGCTTTTACCAGTATTAATAACCAATAATAGTACACTTAGCATATTAAAAAGAGTGATAGAAACTTCCAGGAAATTACGTATTCACTATTTACTTAAATATTTTCCCCTAACAAATGCCTTTTAAAGTAGATCACATCATCAGGTTCAGATAATGTAAGTCCAATATCTGAGCAGCTGAAAGCCTTATTTCAATAATTAGTAGTAGCTCAACTATTGTTCATTTTGCAGAAAACATTTCTGAATTTTGGTAGTACTTATGTTCTAAGTATAAATGTTAAATATCTGCAGTGCTAAAGAGCTGATGAGTTTCAATATGAAATGCTGTAATACATTTCTATTTTGTAAAGATAACAAGGAAGAATATCCTGTTCCAAGGTTATCAGTTTTGAAATTCACTAAAATTAAATTAGCAGTAAAAGTTCATCAGGTGTAATTTAATGAAACTCTTTGTTTCATATAATTTACCCTAATATAAACATTAAATAACTCAGTTTCAGAGTTCACTTAAAATGTAAGACTACAGTTTTCTTAATTAAAGGACAAGTTGCTGAAAGTAAATTAAGGTCAAAGCAAGGAAAGAGACAGGGGGAGGGAGGGAGGGAAGGAGGGAAAGCAAAGCAAAGCAAAGCAAAGCAAAGTAAAGTAGGAAGGAAGGAAAGAAGGGAAGAAGGAAGGAAGGAAGGAAGGAAGGAAGGAAGGAAGGAAGGAAGGAAGGAAAGAAAGAGAGAAAGAAAGAAAGAGAAAGAGAGAAAGAAAGCAAGAAAGCAAGAAAGAAGGAAAGAAAGAAAGAAAAGAAAGGAAAAGAAAGGAGGAGGAGGAGCGAGGAAGGAGAAAGGAAAGAAAGAAAGAAAAAGAAAGGAGGAAGCAAGAAAAGGAGGGAGGGAGGGAGCGAGGGAAGGAGGGAGAAAGAGAAAGAGAAAAAAAAGAAAAGAAAGGAAGGAAGGAAGATAGAAAGGAGGAAGCAAGGAAAGGAGGGAGGGAGGGAGCGAGGGAAGGAGGGAGAAAGAGAAAGAGAGAAAGAGAAGAAAAGAAAAGGAAAGGAAAGGAAAAAAAGAAAGAAAGAAAAAAAGAAAGAAAGAAAAGAAAAGAAAAAAGAAAAGAACGAGCGGAAGGAAGGAAGGAAAAGAAAAAGAAAAAAGGAAGAAAGGAAATGAACTCCTTTACTACTACGTTTAAAGAGCTTGGAAAGCGAGGTTGAAGATATTGTGGATATTTGAATTTAAGTCCCAAGAACAGTAGAAGTTGTTTAAACATCATATATTGGAAACGGGGTGGATTTTATTTGGAAAAACAACAAAGATCTTTAAGAGTATTAATCATTTGTTAGTAACAGAAAGTCCATAGGTCTGCAAAAAATAAATTTATTTTTGTAAAAATGGAAGCATCCTGAAATAATAAAAAGAAACCTGACAATAAGCCACAATTTTTAAAAGAAAGTTGTTTATTTCTACCAAGCTACAAGTCCTCCATGTTAATTGCTGTTGCGCTCACTGACAATCAAGTATTTAACTTCTTTTACAGTAGCTTCCTTTATATTATCAACATGCCACTGGCCTGTGAACATGTCTAGCACTAAAGCCATATCAACTTATTAATAGCAGACATTTCTTTTGTGACAGCATGGACAGTTTCTAATTAAATCCCAGCTGTTTTGACAATGTGGAAGGTGATTGTTATGAACTCTTTAAGCGAAAGGACAACCTGTGTTAATTTTAACACTGCTGCAATATGGAACTTGTTAATTCAATGTGGTTTCCAAGCGCAAATTTTACAACCTGATGAATCACTATCACACAGGGGCTGGCATTAGAATTTATCAGTAAGACAAGCTCATACATCACGAGAGGTTTCAGCACCACGGACAGAGCTTTTAAAAGCTCAGCGATTTGTCACAAATATAGGAACTGAAATATGGCCTATTGGGATGCAGGCATTGTATAGGTCAGCAGAAACGTGAGCAGATACCTTGTATGTACCTTAGAAAAATCTGCATAAAGAGATCATATCATGCATACCCCAGATATGTGAATCTACTTCAAGCTACATATGTCTTATGAAAATTTTATGATTAGAACCCTGAAGAGATTTAGCACAAAGCAGTGAAATAAAGCATTTTGGTTAAAGCCAAATAAATACAGATAATGAAAGCAAATCTTGATCCTACTTATTTCCTTAAATTTTAATCCATGTTGCCAGTGGAGGTGAAGACACTCGCTTCTTACAAGAATACTGTTTTATAGTCCCAATACTACCTCTTAAAATTCATCCAAAATTCACTAAGCCTTGATCAAAGCATTCAAAGAATATACCTACTATTTTGTGACATCATATGGGTGCATTTGTTACCACAGGGAACATTACCTGTAGCAAATAAAATTCCTAATGTTTAAATCTCTGCATACAAACTGAATTGCACAACTTGTAAACAAGAAAACAACTTTCCACAAAAAATAATTTTAAATGAATTTTGTATTTTTTAAACTCTAAAAGTAAACCTCAGATTTTCTTAAACTAAGCATTCTCAATGGAACACACAGAAAAACCAGTCATGCACCACATAATGACATGTTGACCAATGATCTTCCACATACACAATGGGAAATCTCCTATTGCCTGGAGTCCTCCTAATTGTTCCAACATCACAGTACAAGAAGCATGTCATGTGGAGTGGCAACACTGATGTTTAAAAAACACTGTGCTATCACATCTACAAAAGCATAGCATTTCAATTATGCTCACTGCAATCTCATTAATAATGGTGGCAAATTATAATTATCACAAGTGCAAAGAGAAACTTGGAATCATATATACCACTATTAAAGATAATGAGCCCAGAGCCAGGAGCCTCTTTCAAGTCTCACATGAGGGTGCAGGGCGGCAAGGCTTGGGGCCATCTTCGACTGCTTTCCCAGGCCATAAGCAGGGAGCTGGATGGGAAGTGGGGCTGCTGGGATTAGGACCGGCTCCCATGTGGGATCCCAATATGTGCAAGGCAAGGACTTTAGCTGCTAGGCTGCTGTGCTGGGGCCATAGCTTACTCAGCTTGAGACAGGGAAAAATAAAAATATAATTTATATACAGACAAAAGGAAAATATCATTGTTAGTGAAAATAGCTAAAATAATATATCTACTTCTGAGAAAAATAGGAAAACAGGAATTTTAAAGAATATTCCAGTGAAATGCATTTTGTTTGAAAATCTAGCCTAAACTTTTGATAGTAATATATAAAGCTGATTCAGGAATTGAGTAGTAAATATTCAGTGCTGTCAGTGAGAAGATGTCATAGAAAAAAGGATAGAATCCTGTTTTATTAGAATGAAAATAGACAAGGAAGAGATAAATTAATCTACAGTATCATTTTCTATGTATTTTAGATGGCTCTTAGTGAAATATGCCATTTGGTGTCAGTCAACATTAATGGATTAAATATCTCAGACTTATTAATTTCCTGAAGACAAACAGATTTTCAAGTAAGTAACCAATTCAGAGCAAATCTCACATATAACCTAAAATTCGTTGTAAAGTGGCCAGGAGTAACTAACTGTAGCAAAACAATCGTGTGATGGTAAGCTTTGCAGAAGAGTGAAGTATAACGACATTTGGAGACCTCACAGTACTCTCCATGTTTATATATATTTTTTCCAACTCTAATATATCTTCAAGAAACTAACAGCATCAGGTGACCACTATAAGGAACTTTCAGCTTCTCATTAAAACATATTGTTCAGAGTCTGAGGTTATTGATTCAAAATCCAACTGCGATACCAATTTATACTGTTCCCCAGCCTCTGGAACAAAGAATGAAGTAAGCTTGGGACATAAATTAAACTTCCTAATGCTCACATTGAAAGAGTCAATGTATAATAATCTTTGTTGTATGTCCAGATTGAAGGTTGATAAAGACAGAGTTAGTTCTTAAGATGTCAAGTTTGCCATTAATAATGCAATAAAGTCAAATGCACCAAAATAGCTTGTGAGACGAGGACTAGATGAAACAGAAATTCATTACCAGAACTAACATTAAAGTCAGTTACCTCTGGTAAAGATCTCTTTAACAGGGGCTTACCAATGACTCATCTAACTAATCTTTTGCATACAAGCACCAGTATCCCAGATGGGAACAGTTCCTGTCGCAGCTGCTCCACTTCCCATCAGCTCCCTGCTTGTGTCCCGGGGAAAGCAGCGGACAACCCAAAGCCTTGGGATCTTGCACCCGCCTGGGAGAAAGTGCCTGGCTTCTGGCTCCCTGCTTTGAAGCGCCTCAGCTCTGGTCATTATGGCCACTTGGGGAGTTAACCAGCTAATGGAAGATCTTTCTCTGTCTCTTCTCTCTGTGTAAACCTGAATTTCCAATAAAAATAAAGCTTAAAAAATCTCTTTAATAATTACTTCAGAGCAGAATCAACTACTCAATAAAGAAATATGTCTCCAAAATAACTAAGACATTGGGATTCTCATACCTGCTTCCAAGTTAGTTCATCAATAAACCCATATCTTGTATACAATGTTCATGCAAACATTTTTCAGGATTATTTGAGCATATTTAAATATAAAATGGACAGTTGTATATAATTATGTGACACTATAAAGCCTATTTAAACCCTGAAATATAAAGAAAAAAAAAAGTCCTTCTAACCATGGACATGGTATGGAAAGGTCCAAAAAGAGTAGGGAAAAAAAGCATTCATTCTAACTACATTTTATTCATACAAATAAATGTAACTTACGTGATTATAGCAGGAAAAAAATTAGACTAGTCAGTAATAGTCACGTAGGTGCCAGCATTGTAGAGTGGTGGACAAAGTTGTCACTGCAAAGCCAGCTCCCCATATGGACACTGGTTTGTGTTCCAGCAACCTCACT